GGATGGCGGGGGGGGGTGGGGGGAGAGAGGGAAAACAAGAAAGAAAACCCCCAGAGAAACACAAAACAAAACACCCGGGGGGGAACAACTTCCTCCCTTCGGCCAAGGGGATGTGCCCTCGGCCAAGGTCAAGTGGCGTGGGGGGAAAGGGGGGGTCCAGACGTGGCCCCCCGGCCCGGGGAGCCCAAGTTGCAGCGCGATGCTCGCCGAGACGAACTATTTCCTGGCAGACATTTTAGCTCGTGTTTACATTCTCCGGCTGCGTGCTCCTGCGGGCGCCCAGCAATATGGCTGGCAGGGAGCTGACAGAGGGAGGGGCCGGGGTCCCACTTACCATCTGGGGGGGGTGGTGGCTGCTGGGAATGTTGGTCTCCTGGAAGAAGGCGCTGAGGGCTGTCTGTGGGGACAAGCTGTCAGCTCCAGCCCACCCGAGACAAAGGGGGAGGGACAACACGGGCCCCCCAAAGCTCACCCCGCAGCCCCCCGCTCGCTCCCACCCCCTGCGACCGCCCCGGGGGGCACCCAGGGGTGCCCCCGCCCCGCCAGGCCTCGGGGCTGTCCTCCACCCGGCCCGGCGCACATCGTGTCCCCTCCTGGCCCCGGGGGTCCCCACGCCAGGGGACACCCCCGGCCCGTGTCCGCACCCCCGCCTCCCTCGGCGGCACCCCCAGAGCGGAGCGCGGGGGAGGGGCCGGCCCGCCGGGCCGCAGCTCGGGTTACGGCCCGGGTATAAATAGACCCGGCGGAGCCCGGGGCCGGATCGCCCCCCGCCCCGGTGTGGGTGCCGGGGGGGCGGGCAGGACCCCCCAAAACCCGGCCCCGCCTGTCGGTGGGCCGGGGCCGCGCAGGCCTGCCCCCACCCCCACCGCCTTCCGCCCCGCGGCGCTGCGGGCAGGCGGGCGGCGGATCGCGACCCGGGGCGTCCCGGTTCGCGTGCGGGTTACCCCGATCCGTGCCGCCGGCGGCCCGTCCCGTACCTCGAACTGCCAGTGCGCCGCCTGCAGCAGCTGCTTGGCCTGGTCGGCCGCGCATCCGGCCGCCAGCACGAACTGGTTGATCATCACCTGGTGCCGCAGCTCCTCCATGTTCACGGACATGGCGGGGCGGCCCCGGCCCGGCCCGCACCGCCCGGAGCGCCCCGCGCCCGCCGCGCTTCACCGGGGGGACCGGGGGGCGCCGCCGGCCCCGCCCCCGCGCGGTGATTGGCCGCCGCCGCGCCCCGCGCCCCGCCCACCGCCGGCTTCGAACCTTCCAGCTGCCCCGGCGCCTCCCCATTGGCCACCGCCTGTGTTTTGGCTGCAGGAGGCGTGGCGATTGGCTGGCGGTGGCGGAGGCGGGGCCAGGCGGGAGGGAGAGAGGGAGCACCGGCCGCTGATTGGCTGTGCGGGGGTTTTATCGTGAGGCGTTGGTGACGTCACGTTCATTGAGGAGGTTCATTGAGGAGGGGCTCATTGAGAGGGGTTCGTTGAGGGGGTCAGTTGGGGAGGTTCATGCAGAGGGGTCTCTGGATACCCCTGTTGGGGGGGTCACTCCCGTGGGGGCTGCACGTTAACCCCCTGCCTTGGCTCCCCCAGCCTGGCTTACCCCTTGTTCCCTTACCAGGGCTCCTCTCTTCCTTCAGCAAAGCTCTCCCAGCTCTCCTCCTTCCTGGGGACCCTGCTGCCCCCTCCGGGGATCCCCCTTAACCCCCTGCCTTGGCTCTCCCGGTGCTGCTCTCCCATCTGGGCACAGTTTCCCCTGGGGATAGGACCCTCACCAGATGCAGGGGCAGGAGCAGGCACCCATCCTCTTCATCCCCAGGGACCCATCCTCTTCATCCCCATGCCCCTACCATGTACAGGCTGTGGTGTTCAGGGCAGCTCCCGTTTGGAGTGGGAGGGGCTTGGGATTTTTTGTTAATGTTTAAAATCCTGATGATTTGAGCTCCAGTCTCAGCCTGCAAGGATGAACTCTCCACTGGTGTGCTCTCCCCACACCACGTTTGGGGATCTGAGTGGGACTTGTGCGATTCGTGCCTTGAAGTGTTTTGATTAAAAAAGGAAAATTGGCATTTAAACCCCAAACAAATAAAGAAGGGACTTTGCGAATGCATGGTGTGAAAATAGGTTGATCTGGGAAGAGTCACTGGAAGTTTGGATGTGGTGGTGGTGACCAGCTGGCCAGGGGAGAGGGAATGAGGAGGAGGAGAAATGGAAACTCAGAGCTGCATCTGCAGCTGGTTATCCCAGCAGTGATGGCCACTCTGGGGCTTCTGCAGTGATGGCCTCTCTGGGGCTTCTGCAAAGTCCTGCTGGTCTGAAGGTGAAGCCCAGCAATGCCAGTCTGTGGCTGGAAACCTCCCAGGACATTCAGGGGGATCCCAGCACTGGGGTTCAACGATGGGTGTGGAGGGTCCTGCTTTCCCAGCAGGATTTTGTTAGCTTTGTCTTCTTGGAGCAAAACCAGCCTTGAGGCAGGTGGAGTGTGAGAGGAGCAGTTGCAGATGCAGGGATCCCAGCCCCACCTGCCTGTGCACGCAGCCCTGGCGAGCTCTCAGAGCCTCCTGCTTGCCAAAGCCACCCATGTGCACAGCACGGCTTCCAGCTGGGAGCAGCTGGGCTGGGGTAGTGCCTGCCTGGCAAACCCACGGGAATGCAGCTCACGGGCCCTTGGCACCCAAAGCTGTGACAGAGTAGTGCTGGTGACACTTGGACAAGTCAGCAGGACTGTGAGTTCTTCAGAATGAGCCCTTTTTGGGGCAGGGTTCGCTGTCACCTCTCCGTGCCGAGATGCTCCTCCAGATGTGCTGCCCTGACACCCCGCTGGGAGCCTGGGGGTCACCCCTGCAGGCAGAGGGGGCCCCCAGCACCTCCCCAGGCTGTGGAGCCCTCGGCTGGCACCGGGGAAGGGTCATCCCCTGCCCAGGCATGGCCACGGCGGGGCTGCACAGAGCAGAGCCAGCCCAGGAGGAGAGGGGCTGCTGCTTCCCAGTTTGTGCTGGGAATGGACTGGCTGTGCAGCTTTCTGCTGTGGGTGGGCTGCACACCCTCCTGTTGTAACATTAACTGCTGTGCTCTGCCGTGACTCAGTTTCCCTCTCAGCACAACGAGGCAGGACCCTCTCTCTGTGCCATCCCAAATCCCACAGCCGGGCAGCACATGAATTTTGGGTTTAAACGTTGCATTTTCTCTGGATTCCCACTCCGGGTCAGCCCTGCTGGGGTTTCTCCTGGCTTTACTTGTGCTGGGATGTGCAGCCGGGCAGATCTGGGAGGGACCCTGCCCTCGAAGCCATACCATCACCCAGCCCCTGCCACGCTCCCGCGCTCCACTGCGGCACTGTCCTACAAAATCCTCTGCAGCAGTAATCGCTGGGAAAAAAAAACCACGAGCCGTGCATGCAGGCAGCAGCTCTGCGTGTAATGACTGCCGGGTTATGGATCTGCACGGGGATAACTCTGAATTATTGCCTGCACTAAAGCCCTGCAGTCTGCTGTGTGCTGCCGGTAATGAAATGGGCTGGCTCCCTCTCCCAGTTTCCCGCTGTCGGTGCTGGCTGGAGCGAGGCAGGGGACTGGGGCTGGCAGCTCAGCAACGCTGAGCTGTGCTGGAGTTTTAAATTATCCGTGTGTGTAGAACAGGATCCCCAAAAGTGTGTGTTGGGGTGAGCAGGGATCAGTTCCTGGGGTCTTGGGGCTCCCAGCTGAGCGCCAGCGCTCAGAGCTGGAGCAGGCTCCCGGTGTGGATGCTGACCTCGGCTCCTCCGAGAGCCTTTTGGGTTGGAAAAGAGCTTTAAGATCATGGAGTCTTCAATCCTCCTCTTCAGCCGGTGCTCCCGCTGGCACCCAGCCCAGGTGTGACATCCAGCAGCACGGACACGGTGTCACTGCTGGGAATGTGGGTCCCGGTGTGACAGTGGCAGGCTGACAAACAGGCTACAAAGCCACCCCGGGCTGCTCTTTAATTTGGCTTTTCTCAGCTGCCTCTGGGGCTGTGTGGGTAGGAAGCAGCTGGGAGGGGGGTTGGTGTGTCCCTCTGCAGGGAGGGGATAAAGCGGGGAGCCCCAGGGACGGCCTTTGCTCGTCACCACTGAGTAGCCGAGGACATCAGGGCAGCTGATCCGCCTCCCCGCACATCTCCCGTTTGATATTTATAGCGCTCGTGTTATCAACTCAAATCAAAATCATGTGATGCTCCACTGACTGGCGCTGCCGGACTAATTAATCACCGGCGGGTTTAAGTGAGCGGTCAGAGGGTCCATCCTTCCTCTTCGGCTCCAAGGGCAAAATGAGGAGGTGACCAGTGCTTCCCAGTAATTTAACTCTGGGGGGACTGGGGAATCTGTCGGGGCGCGCTGGAGCGCACAGGGAGCTCTGCCTCCAGAGGCAGCGGCCCCGGGCGTGGAGCGGAGCCGGCAGGGCAGCGTGGGGATGATGGGATGTGCGCTGGAGGGGGCTCTAAGCCGACCCCTCCCCAGCGCTGCCGGAGGGGATCAGCCCCTGTGCCAACAGCTGCACAAAATCCTTCCCCCTATAACCTGTCGGGAAAAGTGGGGGCTTCTCCTTCTCCCAGGGGACACGCCGGCGGCAGGGGGTACAGGGACAGAGGGACCGTGGCCAGTCTGCCCCCGGGGGTCCCTGAGCTGGGATTGCTGCTCTGTGCCACCCCGCTGGTGGGCTGGGGGCAAGGATGGCAGGAGGGTGGGCCGTGGTGAGCAGAAGTCACTGCGGGGTGACCGAGGGTGGCGGACGGCGGCGAGGAGGGCCACTGAGCGGCACTGGAGGCAGCTGGGTGACACGGGGCACGGCAGGTGGGTGGCACTGTGGGCACGCGTGTGCCACCGCGGGGGGACAGCTCAGTGGCACCTGAGGGGGGACGCCGCTGGGTGGGTGGGGGACACCGGGGCAGGGTGATCCCGGCAGCACCTCGTCCCCTCGCCTCACCGCCGAGCCGGACCGAGCCGGGGCGGGTCGGGGCGTGCCGGTCGGTGCCGGCCCCGCCCCGAATGTCGCAGCCCCGCGGTGCCGCGGAGGCGGCGCCGGGCGCGGCGCAGAGCGGAGCGGAGGATGCTGCGGGCGGGGGCCGCCGCCAGCCCCGCTCCCGGCCCCCGTCCCGGTCCCGGGCGGGAGGACTCCCCGCCGCCCCCCGCCCGCTGAGCCCGGCCCGGCCATGGGGGCTCTGACCAGCCGGCAGAACGCAGGGGTGGAGGAAGTGGATATCCCCGCTAATTCCGTCTACAGATACCCCCCGAAATCCGGTGAGCCCCCGGGGTGTCTCGCGTCCCGGTGGCGCCGATGGGGAGGGAGAGAAGGGAGCGAGTCGGGAAGGCACAGGGCACGACCTTGCTCCGGGCGGGGTGACCCTGCGCACCCCAAAGCAAACGCTGACGCACGGGGGGGGCACCCTAAAAATCTGGGTCTGGTGCGGGGCACCCTGCGTGAGTGGGGCGCGGGAGGGATGGGGGTCCCCCCTCTCCGGGCGCCCCTTTGCCCCTACAGCCCGCTTCCCAAACTTGCCTGAGTTGATGCGACTTTAATGACATTATTGTCATAATTATTTCTGTAGCCGTGGTCTGCGGCACCGGGCTCCGGAGTTGCTTTTTATAGCCGGTTACTCCGGTGCTGGCTGCTCGGGAAAATCCTGGGTTTAAATTCCCGGGAGGATGAGGGAGGCTGGGGTGGGAGGGATTGGAGGGGATCCCTCCTTCCCAGGGCTCTGCCCCATCGTAGCACCCCAGCCCCTGCCGTGGGGAGCCTTCGCCTTCCCGGCTCCTCTCCGTGCCTCGAGGCTTGCTGGTGATTCATCTCCCGCTCCCGAATCCGGCCCTGTCTCAAACCTTGTGTGTGACCTTGGAAAATCCGTCCCTCCCCTCTGTGCCTGACTTTTCCCTGCAAGGGCCTGGCTGAGAGGGTGTCCGAGGGGGAGGGAGGGGTGATGGGGTCCAGCCCTTGGGTGGGCAGCGCTTCAGAGCCTCCAAAACACCGGCACCGGTGGGTGATGCCCCGGAGCGCCGTGCTTGCGTGCCAGGAGACTGCACAGGATCCTTGCAGCACTAAATATTATTAATAGGTAACTATTTTGGTAGTTGGTAGGATAAGGTAAACGCTCGGATCGTTAGCGCTGTGACAAATTATTCACTAATTACAACTAAAGACCTCCTTAGCAAGAATTGCAGCCCAGCACAAACCCTGCGCTTGTCCTGAAAAGCTGTGCTTGCCTTTTTTTTTTTTTTTTTTTTAAATTTTAATTTAAAATAGGTTGCACAGCTGGCTGGAGATGGCTGATCCTTGACAGCCTGGCCTCCCGCAGGGCTCCCCCAGCTCCCCTTTTTACGTGGTTTCACTTTGATGCCAGGTGAGGCTGGACCAGCCCATCCATGGGATCACCCTTTGTAGGGACGGTGTCTCCATGCATTACAAGTTATCCCTTGGGACCCTCTCTGATTTAGGGGATCTTGAAATATCTGGGTACAAAGGGATGGAGTGTGCAAGCACACCCAGCTGAGCACTTCCAAACCCATCTCAGGTGCAGAGGCCACCAGGCTGATGCCTAACTCCAGCTTTCAGGGGGAGCCTGGGGCTCCTCAGCTGGCCTGGTCCCACTGCTGGGGTCTGGGCAGAGCTGGGGGGGATGGCCCTGCTGCTGCCCAGGGTCCTCGGCAGAAGGGCAGGAGGTGCCCAGGTGACACAGCCATCTGCACGGGGACAAGGGCAGGCTGGTGGCCCTGGGAGATTATGGCTGGTTTGCCTTTAATCCGAGTGGGATTTGCCTTCAGCGCAGCCGGCAGCCGAGGGAGGACGTGCCGGGCAGCGGAGCCGATTCTGCTGTGCCAGCAACACTTCCCTCACCTCAAACACCACCTGGAAACAGCCACTGGCTTGGAAATGTGGTCCTGGAGGGGACTCTCTGGGACCTTGGGGCATTTCCCTCTCTCTGTGATGTGGCTTTGGCTGTTGGGCTGTGGGCTCTCTCGGGATGGCCAGTGCAGCCATGGGAATAGGGCAGCTGTGTCTGGTCCCAGTTGATCCTCGGGGTCCCATCCCCTCCAGACAGGGTGTCAATGGGATTAGTTAAACCATAATTTTTGAAACAAAGGCTGAGATTTACTTCCGTGGCTGCCACTGGGAGGAAGAGCCAGCGGGGGCTGTAGATGGAGCCCCCTGCCTGGCGACTGGGATGGCTTTTGGGGCAAGTCCCCAGCTGAGGTTGGCACCGAGCTCCCCTGGGGCACACGGGGCTGTGAGCAGGGCCCTGGCTGGGGCAGGAGCACAGGCATTAATGCAGCAGTGGCACCCCCAGTCGTGGGGCACAAGCCCAGGTGGTGGCAGAGCCGTGGCAGCCGAGGGCTGACGCAGCAGTGCTGTGGCAGGGTTTGGCCTCAGCTCCGGCTGCCCGCTTTGAGCACAGAATTAAATAATGGGCTGCCCAGGGGCAGAAGCACCCGGAGCCTTTAACCAGCCCATCCCAGCACCCTGTGCTGGCACCCGTGGCCGCAGGGTGTCCCTGTGCCAGCACCATGCCATGCCACCCGTCTGGGCTGACTGCAGGCTGTGCAAACCCGGTGCTTCCCTCACCAGGAGTGTGTGGATGAGCTGGGAATGAGCTTTTCTGGTTTGGCAGCTTTGGAGAGTGAGGCTGTAACGCTGGAGAGCCAGAGGCTGCAGTACCAGAGCCCAGCAGGGCAGCAGTGGCTGGGGCACAGTCCAGGACATGTCACTGCATGCCAGAGCCACGGGCACAGCACACACGAGGGTCCTCACCCTTCTGTGTCAGCTGGACAAGCTGGCATCGCTGGCACTCGTGGGGAAAAACGAGCTGACAGCTGCTGCCAGATGTGTGCTGGTGCCAGCAGATGTGCAGGACACAAAGATTTTTTTTGCTGGGAACCTCAGGCAATTGGGGTTTATTCCTCCTTTGTGCAGCCCTCCCCGCGATGTGGCTGTCCTTGACAGGCTCTCCTTCCCCAGGAGTAGGCGTTGGAGTTACACTCAGCCCATAATAAGGTGGCTGTGGCTGGGAAGGTGCTTCCCTGCCCCCCAGCCATGTCCAGGCAGTCACCAACACGCTCCTGCTGATGCCCTGGGCTTTCCTGTGCTGGTGCTTCCCTGGAAAAGCCTGCACGACTCAAGCCTCCTGTTTAACAGCAAGGGGGACCTTTCCTGGGAGGGAGCACAGAGCTGCTTCTGCCTGCTGTCAAGAGGGAGTTGAAGCCTCTGGGGGATGTGCTGGGAGCCTGCAGCACCCAGGGATGCTCCCAACCCCTGGCAGGGACACTGGGTGATGGCAGCGTGGTCCTCACCCGCTCTGCCCATCCTGTGGGAGCCCCCAGCACGCACTAAACTGCAGCTGGGCCAATCACAGAGAGCCTGTGCTCCATTTTCCAGCTTTTCCTCACTGCTGGGGTGCCTTTTCTCCATGTTTAAATGTAATTTTTTTGCCATCTCCTGCTCTTGCTGCAAGTCTGTGTCAGGAAGAGCTCTGGATGGCCCCGTTCTCCCCTGGCTGGGCTGTTGCAGGCAGCTCTGAAGGCACTTTGCTCTTGAGGCTTTTTTTTCCACCTGGCCGAGTCCTTCCAGGCGAGCTGCCTATAAATTATGTACGTGGAAAATGGGACCTGAAAGCAGCAGGCATCAATAATTGATGGTCGACGTTTGCTCACGGGCTCGCTGCATCCGGGCACCCCTGAGCCACGGGGCCTGGGCACAGCTCTGTGACCCCACTCCTCCCTCCTGGCCCAGAGTTAGATCCCCCCTGCTCCTCCCCTTGGGCTTTGGGCTCCCTTTTGGCTTTCAGTGCAGTATTAAAGCCTGATCCAGCCCTGGACAGTCCCTGCCTCTGTTGGAAGCTGATTGCAAGCTCTGACCTCAGTACCCACAAGCAGAGCTGCAGCCCAGGCTTAAGCTCCTTTATCTGTGGTCCTCAAATGTTTGCTTTTGGGGTGTCCCCAGGGGGTGCAGATGGTTCTGTGCTGATGGGTTTGGGGTTTTTATAAGCTAGACCCTGTCCCTGTGGCTGTCAGGATGCAGGACACTGTGTCCATATCTGACTGACTCCTGGTGCTTCTGCTCACCCCTTGCTGCTGCCCCATCCCTGTCCACTTTTCCTTTTCCCTTTTTTCCTACCTCAAGTCCCAACCCTCCTGCCTGGCCAGTTCCTGTGCCACAGCATGCTTTCCCCACACAGCCCAGCTCTCACAGACCAGGAGCAGGCACCAGCTGTCTCCTGGCTGGGCTGGGAGGAAACATCCTCTGGTGGGGAAGTGCCTGACCTGGGGGTTGCTCCCAGCTCAGGGCCAGGACATTCCGGTGTTTTGGCTCTGTCAGGAAAGAAAGAACCCTGGTCATTGCCCAGCGTTCATCAGGGCAATGTGGAGCACTCTGCAGGGCAGGTGCTGACCCCCTGGAGGGTCTACAGGACCCCAAAATCCTGCCTTGCACAGGTGAGCCCTTCCTAGGGAAGGCTGCAGGCTGAGAACTGACAGACCTCGGGTCACTTGTGCTCTGCCCACCTTCCTGGTGGCAGCTGTGGCCGTTCTGGGCAGTGTCTGGCTGGGGACACGCTGCCTGGGGTGGCACACGAGGTCTGTGCCATCAGGCTCTGGGCAGGAGCAGCCCTGGGCTGCGTGCTGGCTCCGTGCTGCCCTTCCCAGCAGCATCCCCGGGGATGTGGGAGCCAGCCTGGCTCCCCCGGGGCTCTCTGCGGGTCAGGCCGTGTTCTCCTGCCTCCTTCAGGGGGCATGAGCTGGTGTTTATGGCCAGGATTAGCTGTGCCCTGCTGCCCCAGGGGCAGGACGGATCCATGTGCTCCAGGGCATGGGATGGGGATGGCCCGGGCGGGGATGGCCGAAGGTCAGGGTGACCTTGGGTGGCTCAGGCCACGCTGGGGCTCACAGGGATTTCCCAGACGGGAAGAGGGGAGCAGGCACTGTTAAACCCCAGGGATGGAGCAGCCCCGAGGGCCAGCGCTGCCATGGGCTGGACCCCTGCCCCAGCCTCTCCCAGCCCGGCTGAAGCGGGTGGGATGCAGCAAGAGGGGAGGGCAGGCAGGGCGTGTGTCCCTTGGCAATCTCTGCCTGCCCGGGGGCTCTCAGCCTGTGAGCTCAACCAGAAAGGCTCCCAGCAAGGTGACCCTGGGGACAAAGCCACCCCCGGGCCGTCGGTCGGTGGCTCCGTGCGCGTCCCCCGGCGCTCAGGCGCTCGCCGCGCTCTCGTTTCAGGGAGTTACTTTGCCAACCACTTCATCATGGGCGGCGAGAAGTTCGACTCCACGCACCCCGAGGGGTACCTCTTCGGCGAGAACAGCGACCTCAACTTCCTGGGCAACCGGCCCGTGGTGGTGGGTACCCGGGGGGACCGGGGCACGGCACGGCACGGCCCTTCCCAGCCCGGCGGGGACCGAGTGTGACACGGGCTGTGCGGGACGAGGCTGCTGGCTGTCCCCTCCCGGAGCGGGCTGAGTGCATTCTCTGATGGCTCATACAAAGCTGGGCTCCTGCTGCAGCCTGTCTTCCATCCGGGATTAGTGGTGAAGGGGAATTGGGCTGATTTAATCGAGCTTCTTTCTCATTCCCTCTCCAAGAGCTGCGTTTTCTCCATTTTTTCCCCATCTCATCCAGGAGCCATATCCCAGACAGGAGGGCACACAACACAGAGGCCCTGGTGTGGTTCAGGGTAGTAGAGCAGCTTGGAGAGGAACAGATGAAATTACTCCCCAAGCTCTAGCAAGGAAGGGGAAGAAATAAAATAAAATTAAAATAAAATAAAAATAAGAAAAGAGGGGGTAGGTTGGGGCTGGGGGGACATGGCTGGGTTTTGCAGTGCTGGGTGCTGCCAGCTCCAGCTGGTCTCAGGGCACAAGGGAGCCTGGCTAGAGGGAGGTCCCTACACTCCAGGCTCCTGGAGATGGTTTTTGTCCTTGCTGCCTTTGGAAAGGGAGGAAATGACAGCAGGGCTTCAGTCTGGGAGTGATGTCCCCCCTCACCTGGGTGCCTCTCAGCTGTAGGACAGCTCACCAGCACTGGCTGGAGGAGTTTGGGGGGTTAAGTGTTCAAAAGATTCAGGGTGAGGACTTAAAAGTCACCAAAGCTTTTCTGTTGAGTCGAGATAAACTTGACTGCTGCTTTGGCCCAGCTCTCAGGCATTTTCTGCTGCCAGTAAAGTTCCTGTTTCCTCCTTGGAACTGGCTTTGGCAGTGTTTTGGCAGCATCATGTGGTCCTTCAGCAGGGAAGTGTCCAGCCCTGGGCTGTGCCAGAGCAGGGATCCAGGCAGAGGCAAGGTCAGGAGCACCCACAAAGCACATAACATTGGGTGGCCAAAGGCAGAGCCTTTCCCTCCCTCCTCTGCGCTTCCCTGGAAATGAGATGTCAGCACTCAGGGTCTCTTCCAGCAGTGAGCGTTGAGAAATCCTCTTGATTACAGTAAAAGCCTCTAAACTGCCCAGTGAGCAGTTCCCATGTCAGCAGAGCAGCAGGGAAGGCAAAGGAACAGCTTGGAAACAGCAGAGAGAATTAATACAGCATCACGAGCTAAATTGTCTTGCTCCGGTTTAATTACCGACGGCTCTGGGCTGCAGAGCTGTGACCAAGATCCCGTCTCCTTGTGGAGCAGGGGCAGTTCTGGGGCTGCACTTTTGGGTCAGGTCAGTTTTGGGGGCTCAGGGAGGAGTTGGGGAGGATCTGTGCTGGTTCTGGTCCAAGCCTATGTCCAGGCAACACTTGGGTCTCTCTGCTGCTGCCTCCAAGTGCTGTCTTGATCCTTCTTGGCTGTGATACTTTTACTTTCTGACCTTCTGTGAGAGCCCTGGTTGGGCTGGAAACATTAAAGGTAGCCACTGCTTTTTGGTGGGGGATTAATTTTGGGTTCCTTAGGGATAAAGGGCCAGGTGATCTTGGAAGAATTGTGTCCGAAGTCCTCTGTGAGCCGAGCACTTTTCTGAGCTATGAACAGCGCTGCTGCCACAGGGATGTGCAGGGCAGCCAGAGGCTGTGCAGGCTCTCCCCTCCATGGGTACGTGATAATCTGGATTTTCCAGCTGGGAACAGGTTCCCAAGGGGCTGGGAAGGGCGTTGCAGGTTTAAGTAGCTGCCACCATGCAGGGGCTGAGGAGCAGAGAAGCTGCTGGAGGCACTCAGAGAGCACAGGGGAAGCCAGGAACTGTTGAAATGTGCCACTGGGTTTCCCTGCCCACGCAAAGCTGCTGGAGTTTGCTTGTAGAAAAACCCCAAGACAGACTTTTGAGGGTGGTTTTTATTTCACTTCAGCAAAAGCTGGTCTGCACCAAATGTTTCTGTAGGCACGTGGATGACATTCTTAACTTCACCGCAACCGTTACCATTTTTTTCTGTTGTGTTTCAGCTTTATTGAAAGTGAGGAGATGCAAAACGTCCTCTGAATGGCCCCTTTCTGACATGCAAAATCTGGCTTGTAAAATTTAGTTTAAAAAAAAAAATCCAACCACCCCCAAAAAGTGCTTTTCACACGTGGGAGTGAAAGAGCCCGAAGTGGTTTCTGCAGAACACAGTTTGCCTGTGGCACTTCCCCATCCTGCCCAGCCCCACGGCCCCTGTCACCCCCCTTCCCTCCTCTGTCACCCACCCCTGGCTGCTGCAGCAGGAGAAGGGTGCACCCCTGGGTGCTTTCCCAGGGCTGGTTTAGGTATAGTTTGGCTGGGTGAGGTGCAAACCAGCAATTTTGGATGACTGCATTAGTTTGAATAACAGGGGACGTATCACGACATGGCACAACCTGTCATGACAGGGCTCAGCTTCAGCCTGGAGCGTGTTCTCACTCTCTCCCCTCCAGCTGCAATGGGTGACTCTGCAGGTGCTCAGTTCTGCAGGTGCACGTTTAGTGACTCATAAAAACGTTCGTTAACAGCAGTTTAATGACTCTGCTGCCCTTTTCCCCTCCTGAAGAGGGTGAGAGCAGTGGGACACAGTTTCACAGTGCTGGCAATTCATGTCCCAAGCCTCTGATGCCATCAGCCATGCTGTGCCCAGCCTAGGCTTTAATCTGCCTTCAGTGGCACCTGTGGGATCAGAGGTGGGGATGGTGGAGCAGGGATGGGACAGAGCTGGGGATGGTGGAGCAGGGATGGGACAGAGCTGTGCCTGCACTGAGGGGTTCTGCAGCTGCCTGTCCCTGCTGTCCCTCTGAGCCCAGCATGGGTCCCCAGTCCCATCCCTGCTCTGCAGAGCTTTGGGGACAGGAAAGGTGGTGATGGCTGTGCCATGTGAGAGCATCAGGGATATGGGAAATGGGCAGCTGAGCTGGCTCCCTGCAGGGCATCCCCAAGTGCCACCTGCAATTCACTCTTGTCCCCTTGGTACTGGGGTGCAGTGGGTGCCTTGGTGAGGGACAGTGGGACACTATTCCCTCTCCAGAGGCTGCAGTTGAGGCTCTTTGACCATCTCCCGTCCCTGATGGCACCTGACACCCTCCTGGCTCTGGCTGTCCCTTGGCACATGGTGGCAGCTTGCCAACGAGCTGGGCCTTAGTCAGGGCTGATCCCTCCTGGTGTTAAACCTACCTGGGAGATGGAGATGGAGAGGGGGGAGGTGGTTCCTGCATCCCTTTCCCAGTGCCCTCAGTCTCCTCTGGGTGACTGCAGTGCCAGGGAGAGGGTGTCCCCACCATGCCCCTCTCCTCAGGGAGCCCTGTAGCCCCTGTCAAGTGGACAGAAAGGACTGGGAAGGACAATGTCACCTTGGATGAGGGATGCTGCTGCCTGCCTGCTCCTGCCCAAACACCTTGCTGTCTCTCTGCTCTGGGCATGGGGCTGGCAGGGATTCCACCACCCAAATCCCATCCACCACTGGGAGGAAACAGGGAAACTTGTGCCTGTTTTTTCTTGGCTGATAGGCAGGGAAGGAGCTTCAGCCTCTCTCTTCCCAGCCTCATCCAGCAGCATAAAAATCCATCAGCAGCCACCTGCCCTGTGCCCCCCATCCCCGTCACCCTCCAGCCAAAGGCACAAGGAGCAGCCCCTCGGTGTGTCCCCTCCCCAGTGGAACTGCCCCTGGGCTTGCTGTTTGTGGAGGGATGTCCCTGCCATCGTGCTGCCTGGTACCCAAATGCCAGCAGGAGCTGCTCAGCACCCATCAGGATGCCCAGGCCACCCCAATTCCCTGTGCAGGGTGTCAGGTTTGGGTCACTGGAGGCCCACAGCCACCGCAGTCCCCGTGTGCGTCTGCCTTCACCGCTGTCTCTCTCGTCCTAGTTCCCTTATGCTGCTCCACCTCCTCAGGAACCCGTGAAGACCCTCAGGAGCTTAATCAATATCCGCAAGGACACCCTGCGCCTCGTCAAGTGAGTCCTGGCAGGGCCGGGAGGGTGCTCTGGGTGCTCCCGGGGCTGCCCTCGTTCCGCAGGATGGAGGGATGAGCGCTGCCCTTCCCTCCTGCATCCCGCATGCCAGCACAGGCAGTGCCGCAGGATTAAAGGAGCTTAGCGCTGCCTTTGAAGTGCTTGCTTCTTCTTCCTCCCCCACCTTCCAAAGGCTTTGCTGGAGGGAGGCTGGGGATTGCGGCAGGGCCGGGGGATGCGGGATTAGGGCTGAAATCTGTCTGCGGCGCTTCCCAGCCTGCAGGCGTGACCTTGGGCGCTCTGCGTGCCTCAGTGTCCCCCGATGGAGGGCAGCAGCCCTTTTGGTGCCGCGGGGATTAGTCCTGGGGCACCCCAAAACCCATCTCCTGGACCCTCTGTGCTCCCCAGGTGCTCGGAGGAGGTGAAGACCCCGGGGGAAGAAGTGAGCAAAGCCAAGGTGCACTACAACGTGGAGTTCACCTTCGACACGGACGCCCGCGTGGCCATCACCATCTACTACCAGGCAACTGAGGAATTCCACAACGGGGTGGCGAGGTGAGGGCCCCAGTCAGGCCTGTGTCACCCCCCAGCTCGGTCTGTGTCCCCCCAAGCCTGGTGTGTGTCCCTGCCTGATGGACATGGAGCCTCCCCCCCGAGCATCTTTCCTCTTCAGCACAGGAAGCAGCTGAGATTGGTGCTGACATTGGCAGGGGGCTCCTTGTTTCCCCCAGGTGCCACCACCAGGTCCTTGCCAACCTCTGCCACCTCCCTCCCTGTCACATCCTGCTCCCTCTTTTTACCTTCAGGTCAAAACGGAGACCAGGGGAAATAATTTCCTCCCCAAACTCCTCCAGGTTGGCTGTGGAGTTGTCCCTGTCCCCTCCTGTGCTGTGCTGGCTGCCCTGTGGATTATTTTAGCCTTTTTTAGAACTTCTTACCTCTGCCCTAAGAGGCATCTGGGAGGGGAGGAGCGACACACACCCCCCATCCCGTTTTCCTGGCATCTCTGTGCTCTGGGGAGAGCAGGAGGGGTGTGGGGACACCCGTGGTGCCCTGACCCTGTCCTCTCTCCACGGGACAGCTACACCCCCAGGGACAACAGCCTGCAGTCGGAGACGGTGCACTACAAGCGGGGGGTGTGCCAGCAGTTCTGTGTGCCCTCCCACACCATCGACCCGTCCGAGTGGAGCGAGGAGGAGGTGGGTCCCCCCGGCCCCGACATCATCCCGTGCTGGTGGAGGTGGGATGAAGGCTCAGCGCTGCTCCATCTCACCAAGCCTCCCCTGTCTCTCTCCAGCTGGGCTTTGACCTGGACCGCGAGGTTTACCCCATGGTGGTGCAGGCAGTGGTGGATGAAGGAGAGGGTGAGGAGGGGGTTCCTTGCTGGGATGGCCTTTCCCAGTTTGCTGGCATTGTGATGCCAGCTGGGCAGAGCCTCCTGCTTTTCCTCACTGCTGCTGTGGCTCTGCCCGTCCCCTGCACGTCCCCTGAGCCCTGCGTGTCCCTTTGTGTCTTGCAGAGCACAGTGGGCACTGCCACGTGCTGCTGGCCACCTTTGAGAAGGTAAGTGCCAAGCTGGGGCCCTCTCCCTGCTCCTACCTCCATCACCCACCAGGTATAAGAGCCTGGAGAATCCCTGGGGATCGGGATGATGCTGCTGGGCTGGGGTGGTTTGGGCTGCTCCTCAAATCCTGGGACTATTCCCTCGTTTTAAGCACCTTCTTCTAAGGCATTTGGGCTCAACTCCATCTTCCTTCCTACGACAACTCTCCAGCTTTGCAGTGTGTGTGACTATCAGGAAAAGCCAGAATTCCTGCAAAATGGGCTTGTTGGGAGCAGGGAGGGAGCAGTGGCACCACGGGGTGGGTGGGTGCTCTGGCACAGCAGCCCAGGGCTGCCCACCCATGTGCTCTTTCCTCCCTCCAGCACAGTGATGGCACCTTCTGTGTGAAGCCCCTCAAGCAGAAGCAAGTGGTGAGTGTTGAGGTGTCCCTGAGGTGCAGATGTGCCTGCACACCCTGCAGGGGAGGCACTGAGGCGTTTTGGGGAGCTCCCAAAGCCTCTCCCAGCCTTGCCCCTGCCTCCCAGGGAGTGCAATTTCAAGGTTATCAATGTAAAGAGAACCCCTGGGTGCTGGGGGGAGGAGGGGTGACCCAAGCAGGGGCTGGGAGCCCTGGTGGCTCTGGGCAAGGTGTCTCTGCTGCTCACCCCTTCCCATGGGATTGCAGGTGGATGGTGTGAGCTACCTCCTGCAGGAGATCTACGGCATCGAGAACAAGTACAACACACAGGACTCCAAGGTGTGTGCCTGCATCCCCTGCCTGCATCCCAGGGGTCTTCCCTCGTCCCTTCTTCCCTTCCCCTAGCACAGCTCTGGCCACTGAAACATGCTCAGGGCAGGAGTCTGCAGCACAGCATGGAGCTGGTGGTGGCTGGGGACATTTTGTGTTGGCATCAAAGCTGCTGGAGGCAGAAAACTGAAGGACTGAGCTTTTCCCCCCATCCTTTGTGGTTTCTTGGGGGAGGGATGATGGCTTAGATGGGGAGCATGGGGCTCAAGGCATGGCATGTGCCTTATGCTCTGCTCTAATATGTAAAAATTGGGGTGAAAGTTTGGTTTTCTGTTTCCTCTGGCCTCACTCCCAGCCTCCTGGAGGAGAGGAATGAGATCCCAGAGGGTCATTTCACCAGCGGGCAGCCCATGGACACAGGCAGAGCTCTCTCTGAGCACCCAGCCAGTGTTTTAGTGGGCTGGGGAACTTGAGGCCAAGCAGATCCCTCTGTCCCCCGGGCAGGTGGCCGAGGACGAGGTGAGCGATAACAGCGCCGAGTGCGTGGTGTGCCTGTCGGACGTGCGGGACACGCTGATCCTGCCCTGCCGCCACCTCTGCCTCTGCAACTCCTGCGCCGACACCCTGCGCTACCAGGCCAACAACTGCCCCATCTGCCGCCTGCGTGAGCCCCGGCACCCGGCTGGGCGGGCTGGGAACGGGCTGGCACCTCTGGGCTGGCACCTCTGGAACGGGCTGGTGTCCCTGGGAACGGGCTGGCATCGCTGGGAATGGGCTGGCACCTCCGGGAATGGGCTGGCACCTCTGGGAACGGGCTGGCACCTCCGGGAATGGGCTGGCACCTCTGGAATGGGCTGGTGTCCCTGGGAACGGGCTGGCACCTCTGGAGCGCGCTGGCATCTCTGGGAACGGGCTGGCATATCTGGGAACAGGCTGGCATCTCCCACCCTCGAGCTCTGCAGTCCCTCCAGCCCCACTGGGGATGCCCCTCTTGGGGATCAGGGTGTCATTTTTTGACAGGTCTCCTTTCAATGCCTGGTTTTCACCCCTCCCTTTTCTTCCTGCTGCCCCAGCTTTCCGAGCCTTGCTTCAAATCCGAGCCATGAGGAAAAAGCTGGGCCCGCTCTCGCCCACCAGCTTCAACCCCATCATCTCCTCGCAGACCTCCGACTCCGAGGAGCACTCGGTCAGTGCCTGGCTGAAGGTGGGACCCTGGCCTCTTCCACCATGGATGGGGCAGTTTGGGGATCTGTGTGCCTCTGAAGAACAGAGTTTGTTTGTTTATTTATTGCAAATTTATCTTGCAAAAACTACAGGGTTGATATTACAAAAAAAAAAAAAAGAGAAAGAGAAAAAACGTTTCTGGCAGGGTGTCCATTCTCTAGGTTTGAGCTTCTTCCTGGGGCGTTCTGATCCCCCTGGGAGTGAGGGGATCAGCGAAATGGCCCAGGGAGGATCCTCACCCCACGATCCTCTCCACAGTCCTCGGAGAACATCCCGCCGGGGTACGAGGTGGTGTCGCTGCTGGAGGCCCTCAACGGGCCGCTGACACCATCGCCAGCTGCGCTGCCCCTGCGGGCGCTGGGGGACCCCCCGGGCGTGGGGACCCTGCCCTCCTACGGCAGCGATGGCCCCCTGCCCCCCCTGAGGGGCCTGTCCCCCCTGGAGCGCCTGCCCGACTGCCCCCCGGGGCTCAAGCTGAAGAAGAGCATCTCCAAGTGAGTGCTGGGGTAGGAACGGGAGTCTGGGGGTGCTCAGGGGGGCTGGGGGCCCTGGGCAGGGGTGAAACCCTCTGCTTTGCCCCTTTGGCCAGGTCCATCTCACAGAACTCCTCCATCCTGCCCGAAGAGGAGGATGAGAAGTCGTGCACTGAGTCCGAGCTGAGGGTCGCCAGGAGATCTCCAGCCCGGCATGAGGAAGTGAGCACTGTCCAAAATGAGTATAACTCCTTGCTGCTGGTAAGGAGTGAGGCACTGGGGGTGCCAAACAGCAGGTTTGGGGGAGGCTTGGGACCAGAGAGACTGGCTGGAGTTGCCCCTTCTGGCTCTTCCTCCATCCATAAGAATACCTGGAGGAGATGGGCCATGCATGCTGAATATTCCCCCATCCCACCCTTCCTGTGGACTCCTCTTCCAGGGATGTGGTGCAACCCCAGAGAGTGAAAACCTCACCCTGTCATCATCAGGAGCCATCGACCAGTCCTCGTGCACTGGGACACCCCTGTCCTCCACCATCTCGTCCCCAGAAGGTACAGCATGGAGGGGCTCATGGGCACTGGCAGGGCAGGAGAGTGGCATCGTGATCTCAGGACTGTCACACTGTGAGGGGAGGCAAAGAGGGGTGGCGTGGTCCCTTCTTACCCTGCCATGGAGATTGGATGGAGCCCCAGGGCTCACCTCTGCTTTGTCACCTGTACACCTGGAGATGGGAATCACAGGGGCACTGATCATGCCTGTTTTGTCACCCTGTAGACCCAGAAACGGGGCTGTGAGCCCTGGGGACGTGCTGCTGGCAGCTTTGCACCCATCACATCTCCTTGGTGTGCAGCCAGTCCTTCCTCTGCACCCCACCCCTCCTCATTATCCCCTCTTTCATTAGTGGGTGCTGGGCCATGACTCCCACCAGTGGAGCAGCCCCCTCAGCCCCTGCTCTCCCCCAGAGCCCGTGAGCAGCAGCCTGGCTCAGTCCGTCATGTCCATGGCCTCCTCCCAGAGCCAGCACTCCCAGCTCAGCACCGACACCGTGTCCTCCATGTCTGGCTCCTACATCGCCCCTGGCACGGAGGAGGAAGAGGAGGACGAGGAGGAAGAGGAGGGGGACATGCTCCCCTCGCCCGCAGCCGCAAGCGCCACAGCCTCTGATGGAGAGGTAGGGACTGGGGGTTGTTGGTGGAGCCCAGGTTGGAGAGCTTCCCCATGGGATGTAAGTCCTCCTCCAAAACCACTGGCACCAGACTTTCCTTTCTGTTTTCCTTCCATCTTTCCCACCTACAGTCAACACCCGTGGAGTCCCCGGATCTGAATTTTGTCAGCATCTCTGCTGAGGAGCGCGATGCCGAGGTAACCAAAACCATCCCACAGGGAACTGGGAGCTGTGGAGTCACTCAGCACCGTGGGGGGATCCCAGCTGGGCCCATACTGGGAGCTGTGGTGTCACCTGGCCCTGCTGTGCCCGTACTGGGAGCTGTGGTGTCACCTGGCCCTGCTGTGCCCGTACTGGGAGCTGTGGTGTCACCTGGCCCTGCTGTGCCCGTACTGGGAGCTGTGGTGTCACCTGGCCCTGCTGTGCCCGTACTGGGAGCTGTGGTGTCACCTGGCCCTGCTGTGCCCGTACTGGGAGCTGTGGTGTCACCTGGCCCTGCTGTGCCCGTACTGGGAGCTGTGGTGTCACCTGGCCCTGCTGTGCCCGTACTGGGAGCTGTGGTGTCACCTGGCCCTGCTGTGCCCGTACTGGGAGCTGTGGTGTCACCTGGCCCTGCTGTGCCCGTACTGGGAGCTGTGGTGTCACCTGGCCCTGCTGTGCCCGTACTGGGAGCTGTGGTGTCACCTGGCCCTGCTGTGCCCGTACTGGGAGCTGTGGTGTCACCCGGCACCGTGGGGGGATCCCAGCTGTGCCCATGAAGGGGGAAGCTGGGCAGCTGGCACCACGTTCCCGCAGGGCTGGGCTGGGGAACACGCTGCCCACGCATCCCTGTCCCTGAGGGCTGCCCTGGGGATGGATGGGGCAGTGGGGCTGTGCCCCACCAACAGTCCTGATCCATGGAATCCCCAGGGCCAGGGATGTTGCCCCAAAGGGAGCTGGGAGCAGCCCCTGGCACAGCCCCAAGCTAACACTCGCTGCCTCTCGCCTGTGCCACAGGGCAACGATGTGCTGGAGGAGGAGGACGCCTCTCCCACACAGGAAGACGGTAAAAGGCCCTGGGTTGTTGTTGTCCTCTTGCTTTCAGCTCACTGTCACTGTGAGTGGGAGGTGCTGTGCTGTCCCCAGCTCCCCCCCTGCCATCAGGGAGAGCCCTGGGGGACCCTGCGGGCACTGGAGTCACATCTGTGACAGCAGGGACACCCTGATGGGGGGCTGAACACCAGTGGGTGGGGGAGCCAGCCAGCCACGGGGACCCAGAGAGCTCAGTGTGGGACATGGAGCAGGCCATGGTTGGTTTTTCCATGGAGCAGGACCCAGTGGTTTTTCCAAGGAGCCACATGGGAAAGAGGCTTCTCTCTCTGAGTGTTTATTCCCTCGTCAAGGTCTTTTCTCAAATATCTGAGACTCTCCCCTGTAGAAATCAGTGTCTGGGCTGATTCCCATAGGAAGGGGCTGCAGAGCTGTTCCCTCTGGGATGCTTTCCTCACTTTCTTTGGCCTGTCCTCAATGTGCTTTTGCAAGTCAATACATGCACATCGAGGGCGCCTCTTGCCTCCTCCCTTGAGCTCAGACAGCCAAGGAAAGAGGTGGTCACCTCCATGCCATTGGCCACCAACTGCCCTGGATTGCTTTTGGGCAACAGGGAGGTCCACAATGTGCCTCCTCCCACATTTCCAAGTCTCTTTTTAGCAAAAATACAACAAAACTATTTCCCCATCCAGCCGGGATGCTCAGCCAAGCTGGAAAGCAGGAACACCCATGGAACACCCATCCCCAAATTGTGGCCTCTGACCTGCAGAGAGCCTCGTGCTGATGGGGAGACTCAAGTATAACAAATAGGAGCAACCAGGGGCTGTGGTGGACATCCATGGGCATCCCAACAGCTCTGGGAGCAGGATGGCCTTTCTCCTTAGGACACAGTCCTGCACCCGTTCTCAGCAGGGCTACTGGCACATTTGAGAACATCCCTCCTGAGGTTCAGTCACCTGCATCTGATGGATGCAGGTAAGAACCTGGGGGCTTCTCTTGTAGAAGCAATGCTAAGGAGCAGAGTTACCTCCCTCATCCCCAAAAGCCTCCATCCCCCCTGCAAAAGCTTGGCTACGGCTTCTCGTGCCCCACGCATCCAGCTACTGCCTCTTCCTGGCATCCACGCAGCTCTCCCCGCACCGCTGGTGCCGGAGAGGCTCCTGCAGGAGGTGATGGGTGCCACCACAGCCTGGCTGTGCCAGAGGGAAGGTTTGGCTGAAGCCTGGGCAGGTTCATGCTCGTGCCCGCGGCCGCATCGTCGCCGTCCCGCTGCCCTCCGATGCGGCCGGTGCGAGGAGAGGAGCAGCTGGGGCCGTGCCCAGGCCTTATTGTCCACTCTTCACCCGCTCCCACCCCGATGCATCGTTCCTGTGTCATTTTTTGTTTGGAAAGAGGCTGGGGAGGGGAGAGGAAAAGCCCCAGCCATCCCAGCCCCCAGTGGTAAAAGGCGACGTCGAGCCCCAGCGCGGCCGCGGCGTTAACTGCCTTAACTCCCTTCCAGGCCCGAGGACAGGCGCTTTCCTCGGTCTGAGGTGTGACAATAACAATGACATGGGCATCGCACACGTGAGAGCGCTGGACAATAAACTGTGCTCTGAGGCCTGCTTACCTGGTGAGTGGCCGTCTGCTGAACATGAACTTGGGGTGGGGGGGACAGTCCCACTCTTCCCTGCATCCCCCCAGCCCTTTGCATCCATCCCTCCTCTCCCATCACCATCATTCCCACCATTCCCGCCAGGTTGTCCTCACTGCACCCCTCCAGCCGTCCCTCTGTGGGGCTGAGCACCAGCCATGTCACCACCTATAGGTCAGGGTGGCCTGTCCAGACTGGGATGTCCCCAGGCAGCTGCAGACTTGCTTTGCTGCCTGGGGGCAACTCTTGGCCAGGGGGCTGCTGGCATCCCCAGGAGGCACCAGTCCTCCTTAGGAAGGTGGTTGTGTGGCACAGCTGTAGCCTGGCACAGGCTTGCGGTGGGCACAGCAGTATTTTGTGTTGGGGTGTGATCCACAGGCAGTCCAGCTGTACAGCAGGAGTGCCTGCCTTGTCCTCCCCCCAAGGCCAGGGAGATGGGGTGTGTCCATCAGGTCATCTTTCTACAGAGCCCCAACATTCATCTGTCTTTCCCATTTCTTCATGCTTTCTCCCCCACCCTCCTTCCACTTTTGTTTCCTCCCAGCCTCTCTCCATCCCTTTTTTTTCTTCCTTCCCCCCAGGCTCCTCCGTCTGCGTGAAAGTTCATGTTCGCTCTGTGCCAACACGGTTTTCTCCACCCACGCTTGTGCCCCTTCCCTGCCCAGAGTTGCCCAAAGGTGACAAATGTATTGAACACCCCTGGCCCCTCTGTGGAAGGGGGCAGTGGGCTGGGGACCCTGCCCAGCCCTGCAGGCTCTGCTTCCTCAGCCTGTGTGTGGGGAAACGAGCCAAAAAGCCAAAACAGCACCCTCCATGGGGTCTCAGTCAATACATTTGTGGACAAGCTGAAAGCAACTCTGCCCGTGCCTTGCCCCTTCAGCTGACTTTGTGGCAGGTCCCAGACCTGCAGCAGGTGCTGGAGAGCCAGTGAAACCCACTGGAGGGATATGAAATCCTTTCTTCTCCTCTGCTCCTTTGGGAAAGCCTCCTCTCCTGCTGCCTTGCCTGTTCCTGCTGGTTTCTGTGCTGGAGAAACACGGCTGAGGCTCTTGGGGAGGAACAGGCACCTGCCACAAAAGCCTTATGTCCTCTCCATCACCCTCTGTCAGCAGCTGGCTGAGTTCTGCTGGCCTGGGGGGCTGGGGAGGGAGCTGGGGGTGCCCCAGCAGCACCTCTGCTTGGCTGGAGGGCCTGGCAAAGCATCCCTTGGCTGTGGCAGCGGCCAAAGCCATCCTTGACTGCATCCCTCTTGGTTGTGCTGGGGGTAGGGTGAGGAAGGGGGAGCTTTGCAGCCCAGATGGCTCCAGCACAGGGTCAAATTCTTGCTCCGCTGTGAGGTGTGCACTGGCCTTGTCCCCTGCCTGGGCTGGGCACAGGAGCTGGTCCCTGGGCTGAGCCCAGCCAAGGATGCCCTCTCCATCCTTTGGCCACCACAGCTGTCCATGTGTCCGGCTGCTGCAGCCCTCAGCACGAGCTGTGCTGCGTGAGAGGGGTGATCCAGCCTCAGCACTGGTGGGGAAAAGCAGAGGGCTGAGGAGGTGCAGAGTGGGAGCTTTGGGGCTGCCCATGGTCCCCTGGGAATGGCAGACATGATGTTCTCCATCCCTTTTCACTCGCTGTAGGATGCAAGGCATTTTCCCCACATAATAATGGACAGTGACCATTGTTTTCTGACTTTCCTTTTTGAGCTGTTGTACCAGTTTGTGTAGATCAGGACGTTCCAACAGTTTTCAACCAGGTTTTAACAACCCATTCCAGTAGGGGTTGTGGACAAAATGTCATATAACATATCTAACATAAGTTTTGGTGCAGTTTTTGGTAGGGAGTAGCTGAAGTCACACCCTGCTCTATAGGTGAAGTTACAAATACATGGATTCATGCGGTCACAAAGCTGTATCTTTGTGTCACCCACTGTTAAATTGTCACAAGTGGTTCTTAGACACACACCCTTATCCTATGGACACTGGGATGGATTCAGGGTCATTATCAGGAGATGTCTCAAAGTGATAGACACAGTTCTGTGTCCAAACACACAGCTTAGGCTATCAGAATATTACTTTCACATATAAACCCCTGTCATTCTCTCACCACACAACAATCTGCATCAGTGGATTGCCATGCACGTGTGAGATTGTTCTCAAAAGCCCATGCTCAGTGCTCCAATGGATCTAATCCCATTCCTACCACAAGGATTTGGTGCTTGGTGCACACAGAAGCACTCTGTATTGCTAAGGCAAACACTGTGATCTTACTAGTGATGGGCACATAAGAAAATTTGACTGAAGACCATCAGAATTTAAATGCCCTTTCAAATTTCAATGAATAAAAGTCCCTTTTCCCATTCAGTGATTATCCCAGAACTGGAGGAGTGTAACCACAACTGAGCTGGAATACAGCTGAGTGCTGAAGACACTGCTCTGAGCAATTTCCAGACCATCAGCCAGTCATTAGCATTTGGATATTTTTGATATTTAAAGCTGATCACTGTGGGTTTCTAAGAGCAGATAAGGAAGACCTTAAGGGTTGATCTGTAGTGTTCAAATGGTTGCACCCAATTGATCAGTCAGAGTTTCAGGACTAATATTGTTCAATACTCTTATTCCAGTTCCCAATATATCAGTTAGATGTGTGAGGTAACAGCCTCTGGTTTACCAGAAAAACCACCCAGTAGAGGAGGTACCTGTAAAAGATGAACTTTTTGGTCTGATAGCAGAAACATTGGTCTGCATCTCTTTAAGGACTAGGATTAAACAATATTTAAACAATTTGACCTTGAAATGTTCAGAGTTGATTTTATAGGTTTTGGAGAAGTTTTTGGAGCAGTTGTGGAGGGTATGCTGGGCACCCTTAAGCCCTCTAGAGTAGTCAGCTTCTGTATCACAACGAGTTAAGATCAGTATTGTGTCTTTAAATTTACAGTCCTTCAGGCTCATGGTGAGACAGACTGGGGGTGTTCCATGTTTTGTGGTTTTGTTTTGGCTGTATTGTTCATAAAATCTCTCAGGGCTTGTACCCAGTCTGTGACAACCCCTCTCAGTGATTGTAGGGAAGGCTTGCATCCTGGCCCTTGAGATCTGTGGTGTTCAAGAGTCTACATCTCCAAGTCCATCAAGTCTCTTGGACAGTCTCCAAGCTGGTGCCATTTGATAATGATGTTTTTGTCCTCTCTGTAATGGATGAAGGTGCAGGACATGGTTCCTCCAAGCTTCTTTTGAAATCTTTGCAGATTTCAATCTGGTGGGAAAGAGCTTTTTGAGGAGGCAAAAGTCCTCATCCCAGGGATTTTAGGACGTGAGGTTTAACTAAAACCTACAGATCCATGTCCTTGTGTGGATCCTGCAGAGCAGGAGTTGCAGGGGCTGTCCCCAGGCTTCAGAGCATCCTCTGGCCACAGCCTCTGCCGGGGGCAGGGTGGAGAAACAGCTTTGGAAAGAGAAACTGGGGAAAGACATCTGCCAGAAAGGCTGGCACCGAGGTGGGGGGGCTGGAGAGCTGCTGTAGAAAACCTGAAATCCCCTGAGGATTTAAAGCCACAGATGCTGCGAGCTGTGAGCAGCGGGCCGGGAGAGCCGGTTGGGTTTCACCAGGATGGATTTGGGTTTCACCAGGATGGATTTGGATGGATTTTGGTCTGCCCAGGGCAGGTCTGCCAGCTGCTGGCAGCAGGGGAGACCCCTCCAGCAGCACAGGGGGTGGGAGGTGGGTGGGCACAGGGCTGACACCCTGCTCCAGGGCCAGACCATGTCCTGCTGCCCCAGCCCTGCTCCTCAGCAGCCTCGCAAGGGTGCACTGAGCACAGCTGGGCCTCTGCACCGGAGCACTGCAGTGACTTAGGCAATATCAAGCTCTTAATGGGATTTCCGTGTGCATGTGTACGTGTGGTCCTGTTTAATTATCCATTCCCTCCGGGATCTGCAGACTTAACATGCCTCGCTCTCCAGCCTGAGCTCGCCATGAAAAGCCACTCGAAATGGCAGCTGTCACCTCTCATAAATCAGCAGGCAGCAGGATTTTGTTGCTCCCCGTCTGAGAAAGCCTCAGCCCTTGGCCTTGGCATGCCCTCACACAGTCCTTCCAGCTCAGAGCTGCCCTGGGCACAGGGCTTGGCCTCGCTGGAGGGTGCAGCCAAGCTGCCCTAGGGGTGCACCCCCTTCCTAAGGGCACCACGCAGCCTCTGATGGGTTTGGTGGTGGGACACAAGCCACGGGCCGAGCTCTGCCATCGCCCTGCCCCAGCTGAAGGGTGCTGCCTGACCTGGGAGCCTGCAGCTGGAGAGGAGGCACGGGGGGACCCACAAGCATGCCGCCCCTCGGTTCCCCTCGGCACGAAACCCGGGAGGCTCCACGCATGGGGACCCCTCACCCCGTGCCTGGTGGCAGCTCCCCCGCCCCTCCTGGACCCGTTCACAGGCGATGAGACCCCCAGTCCCCCCTCTGTGCTCGCTCGTGTGCATGTCCCCGCGTCCCCGCCGCTCCCGCCTTCACCATGTGCCTTCTGGTCTCTCCTGCCACGCAGCCGCCGTGCCGGACTCCTGCCCCATTAACATTGAGGAATAGGTGAGACCATGAGACCCCCAGAGCTGCGCCTGCCTCGTGCCCCGTCCCCCGGGGGGTTGGCGCTGCGTTGTCACCCATTGCTGGTGGCCCCCTCGGTGCCCAGGCCAGGGGGACATCCCCTGGTGCCGGAGCTGCAGCCCCACAGGACACCTGCATGTGGCCTCTCGCTGGCCATGGGTGGCCCCCCCTTCATTTGGGTTATTGAAACCCACTGATGGTTGCGCTGTGCTTCCCGTTTGGCCCTCAGCATTCCTGAGAAATTGGGGGTTTAAGGGGCTCCCCCAGCCTGGAGAGGTAAGTGCAGGCACCCCCCAGCCTTCACTGCAGCCAAAACCCAACGGGGGGCTGGGGAGGTGGGCACTGCTTTGGGAGAATAAATCGCACCCCCCGTGGAAAAACGAGCCCAGTGCACCAGTGGGCTTTGGGAGCCCCTAACCCCCGTTTTCTCCCCCCAGGCCCAGAGGCAGCCAACAACAACGTGGGGCTGCAGCAGACCTGGCCCCGCTGTCCCCCCGGCCCCCGGGACCTGGAGCAGGCAGCGGCCCCCCTGCCCGTGTGAGGGCTCAGCCTCGCCGGGGGCACGGACCCCCTGCCCACCCACGGGGACCTGGTGCCTGGGCACCGTGGGCATCGTCACCACCACCCCTCAGCTGTACCAGGACTGATTTTCAAAAGAAAATATGTGGTAACCTCGACTTTTCTGTGGGGGCTGAAAGCCATGTTACTTTGAAGCCCCCCACTAGCACCTTCCCATTCTCCAGCCCCAACGGGGATGGGCTGGGGTCCCCTCCTGCCCCCCTGGTCATCTTACACCCCCAGGCTCCTCTCCTCCAAAGTGTGGAGCAGATGGGACAGGGACAGCTCACTGAGTCACCGAGGGGTTCTGGGATGTGGGTGGGTGGGGACAATGGGAGGATGATGTTGTGGGTGTGGGTTCTAGGAAGAGTGTTGGGATTTGGGATTGGCATCCTCGGTGCATGAGCTGCTGACTTTCATGGGAGGCTGTCCCCCCTCCAAAGTTTGCTGGCCCGTGCACTGTCCCCACGCCACGGGATGTCCCCATTAATGCACTGCACATGGGGTGCCCCCATGGCTCCCCCTCCTCTGCTCTCCTCCTGAGCAGCTCCTGGGCCTGGCCCCGAGGCTGCTGTTCCCGAGGGCACGGAGCAGGGTGGCAGGGGTGGGCAGGAGGCCTGGTACTGCCCCAGCCCGGTCTCCAGCCCCTGGGGCATTGACCATTTATCCTCTGTCTTCCGCCCTGCTGTGAGCTCAGGGCTCTGGGCTGCGCCCTCTCTCTGGAACAAGTGCCAAAAGTGTCACCCCATGCCACCCGCCCTGCCCTCCCCATAACAGTTTGTAGCAAGGGGTGGATGAGGGTGTGGGAGCTGCCCCCATCTCCATCCCCATCCCTCTGGCCAGCATTGGGCTGACAGCATAAGTGGATTTTGCTCCAAGGGCAGGCACACAAGGACAGTAAAGCAGGAGGGGTAAAGCCACAGACCTTGGGGGCCTGGTGGGGCCACTGGCAGAGGCCAGGCTCCGCTCCAGAGAGCATCAGGGACAGTCAGAAATCACTTGGAGCAGCATCAGACCCTGCATCCCAATCTAGCAGGCTCTGGAGCTGTTTGGGGCAGCCCAGGGTGGGAAGCTGAGCCTCCCTTTTCCCCACCTGATTTTGTCACACAGCTGTGGCAGCCGAGGCCACCTCCTCCTCTTTGCAGGACACAGCTGCGTTTCAGAGCCACCTTAGCACAGAGATGTTCGTGCACTGCAAGCAGTGTCCCTGGAGGGCTGGGGTGGGGAGCAGGTTCCCAGTGCCATCCCCATGGGCTGTGCTGGTGATGGCTGTGGCTCCTAGAGAGACATGAAGCCCTGTTGGGGGCTGGGGGTGTTTTCTCTGCCTTGCTCTGTGTGGCTCCTGCCAGAGGTGGGTTGGAGCCAGCCATCCCACTGCTCTCTCCTCTGGGCTGGCTGTGTCTCCTCAAAGCTCAACAGCTCCCAAATTCCTCCCTGGGAACCCAGGGCTCGTGTTGGATGTCAGGGGGTGACAGCTCCAAAACGCCATCCTGTGGCATGCGAGGTGGGAGCTGCAAAGAGCAGGGAGGGCTGAAGGGCTGGGGACAAGCCTCGTGGCCTGTTTGGGGACGTGCTGGGTGTCCCAGCCCTAAGGAGCCACAGCACCACACAGGGAGAGCTTTGGAGGTTCACCATCGTGCTGAGCTGAGAAAACCACGGCAGCCATCGCTTCCCCAAGTCTCCAGCATGGGCAGGGGAGAGAAAATCGGACTGGGGCACCTCGTCTACCAAAGCCCAGCCTTCCTCGTGGTTTCCGAGGTGACAAGGACAGCTGGCCTGGCACCCTGGCACAGGCTGCAGCGGTGCTTGTGGCTGCCAGCAGAGCAAGGAGGACTTAGGGGAGACCGTGAGGGTTTTGTGGCTCCTCTGAGCGGTGTCCCCAAGGCTGCAGGAGCGGCCAGACAAACTCCCGGGGTGGCTGCGGGTGGGCGCTGCCCCTGGCTCAGAGAGGAGCCGGGAGGATGCTGCGGCCGAGCAGTGCTGCTGCCTGCCTGTGAGCAAGGAATCCATCCTCTGGGTGGCACAGGAGAGACGGGATCTGGGCATGAGGGACATCCGTGCCGTCCTCGGTCACCCTGAAGGGGTAAGGGGCAGGCAGGAGCTGCCAGGGCAGCGTGGGCTGGAAGGTGGCAGCCCCTTGTCCCCGTGACCCACGTGTCAGGGATTTAAGGAAAGGAAACCAGATTGCTGCTTATGATTTTGCTTTGAGCATGTTCTGGATTTTAAGAGTTTAATAAAGGGTACCTTATGTCGACAGAGTGTCCAGAGTCATTTTGTGGTGGCAGGGTGAGGGCAGTTGGGGTTTGGGGGACTTGGTGTGTAAAAATCCTTTTTGGCTGGGAGCACCCACTCACCTGTCACCCAGGTACCTCCTTCAAAACAGCCCAGCTGATCCAAATGTCCTAAAACACTTCCCAACCTGCATTCCCAACTATCCTAAATCCTGCCAGGATGGAGAAAGGGCAAATGCAGACTAAACCTCTTCAGGAAGAGTCTGGCCTGGGATAGAGGCATCTTCCTGGTTTGTGCTGTGGGTGGGCCCTGTCACTGCTGGGATGGTTGAGGACACCCAGAGGGAACTTTTCCTGCGGGAGAAGAGGAGCAACAGAGAGCTGGGAGCTCATGCAAGAGAAATTCCTCCAATGCTGGGGAAGAAAATGTGTGCTGGGAGCTGAAGTCTTGAAGGTAAGGAGAGCTGTAAGAGGGGTTGTAATTTGAGCTTAGTAGAAGGGGCTGGTGATGGTGGGGGGAAGCAACTTGCAGCTGAATCAGAGCCAAAATCAGAATCAATCAGATTGGAAAAGGCCTCTGAGATAATTGAGTCCGACACAAGACTGACCAAGCTGGGGGGGCATGGCTTGCAGATGGTCAGATCCTTCAAAGAGATCCCTCCCTGGCCTCTGTTAAAGCTCTCAGAACAGCACTTAGGGGGCAGGGATTCCTTAGAGAAGTCTATGGCTGCAATTTTTAAAATTAAATAAACTCCTTTATTTTTGGAGTCTGTCAGCCCCCCTTTGCCTCTCCCTCATTGCTGTGGGTGCACCAGGAGCAAGAAATAGGATGGGGGCACAGGTAGGAGGAAAAGGGCTGGGGGTGCCCCTGGAGGGGCAGGACACAGGTTTCCATAGAATCACAAACAGTTTGGGTTGGAACAGACATCAAAGATCATCCAGTTCCAAGCCCCCCCACCACAGGCAAGGACACTTCCACCATCCCAGGTTGCTCCAAGCCCCATCCAAGCTGGCCTTGAACCATTCCATCCACAGCTTCTCTGAACCTGTTCCACCACCCTCACAATCATTTTGTCCTACAATCTAACCTAAACCTACTCTATTTTAGTTTGCAGCCATTTCCTTTTCTTATCACCACTCGTCCAAGTCCCCCTCCAGCCATCTCAGGGCTCCCTGCAGGTGCGGGACAGCCCGATAAGGTCACCCCAGGGTGTCCCCATCCCCTCGGGCCGGACTCGGGTCTCTCCAGCCTTCTCAGGGCTCTCTGCAGGTGCGGGACAGCCCGATAAGGTCATCCCAAGGTGTCCCCATCCCCTCGGGCTGGGCTCGGGCCTCTCCAGCCTTCTCAGGGCTCTCTGCAGGTGCGGGACAGCCGGATAAGGTCCCCCCAAGGTGTCCCCGTCCCCTCGGGCTGGGCTCGGCCCGGGCTCGGGGTCCCGCGGCATCCCTGAGCACCGCCCCCGTCCCCATGGCAACGCGCGGGCCAATGGCGTGCCCGGAGGATGTTTACGGGGCGTGGCGTCGCCGTGGCAACGCGCGAAGCCTCCCGGAGCCGCTACTTAACCCCGCGCGGGGCGGCCGCGGCTCACGGCGGCTCGGCGGGCACGGCCCGGCCCGGCCACACCGCAGGCACGGGCTACCCCGACACCCACCGGGCCTCTCTTTCCCCTTTTCTGTTCTTACTCCTCACCCCTTTTCTTTATTTTTTTTTCCTTTTTTTTTTTAAATTTTTTGGTGTTTTTTCCCCTCTCGTCTCTCGTTTTTCCAGAAGCTTCTTACTGTGTCGTGAACTTTGCCTGTCGGGGGGCGACACCGACACCGGGACGGGGTAAGGGGATGCGGCGGGGGAGGAAAGGGCAGCGCGGCCGAAGGCGCCGTTGGGGGCGGTGGGTCTGCGGGGGGAGCGGCTCTGGTCGTGCGCCCTCCCGGCGCTCTCTGCAGGCCCAGACACTCCGGATTTCGGGTTTACATTCACATCCCCGACACAAGATTCCCCAAAGTCTGAAGCTGCCGGCTCGCTCTGACTCAGGGTGTGCTTGGGGTGGGACCCCGCCAGTTCCCCCAACCCACCCTTGAGGTGTTTCTGGGTACCACGGGAAGTAAAAGCAGAATTAGCATCAAACCAAAAGAAGTTGGCTGCGAGGGGGGAAACTTTAAAGTATTTTGTCCTGGTGTGGAATGCTGACAATCAGTCCTGTGAGTGCCAGGTATCCAGAGATGTGTGTTCCCAAGAAACAACCTCACTTTGTGGGATGGCAGGACTGGATTTTGGTAGTTTGAGGTTTTTTCTGTTGGTTTTGGTTTTTTTTTTTAATTCTTTGTTCAGCCAAGAGCTTGCTGGGCAGCAGGTCGGTGGGTGACACTCAGGTGTGGGAGTTTGAGGGAATTTCCCCAAGGTTCAAGGGTGCTACAGCCCCTCGGGACAGGCATTGCAGGTCCTTTGCACAGCACACCGGGGATGGGTCTCACCCAGCAGCTCCAGGAGCACCCAGGGGTGGCCCTGCCTGGCTGTCAGAGAGAGACTGCACCTTGGGGAACCTCACCCCTGTCCCTGTTGTTATTGCAGGATCTGCCCCATCCCTTCCCTCCCGTTCACGTGTGGCCCGGGAAGCACCGAGGGAGGCATGGCGTGGCCGGGCCGAGCACTGAAAGCCAAGGGCAAACTGAAGAGTGTGGAGGAAGACCTGGATGACAGCCTGCCAGACCTCATGTGGCTGAGGGACTTCACAGTGGCCCAGACTGGCCTGCCTCAGTTATACTCTGGCTCAGACCCCCAGGACTGTTACACCATGAGTGAGAGTCTGTTCAGCCTGGTTGATTTTGAGTCGCCGTGCTCGCCCCTGGCTGCTGACCCGGCCTGCAAGGGCACACGGCACACCCCCTGCACGCCCGTCTCCTCCTCCACCTCCTCCACCACCCACCGAGACCTGGCTGTGCCCCCTCACCTGGCTGGGGACATCGACTACAAGACCAACCCTCACGTCAAGCCACCCTACTCCTACGCCACCCTCATCTGCATGGCCATGGAAGCCAGCAATAAACCCAAAATCACCCTCTCTGCCATCTACAAGTGGATTACTGACAACTTCTGCTACTTCCGACACGCTGATCCCACCTGGCAGGTAGGAGATGTGGAGCCTTGGCCACTCTCCCTGCAGGGCTGAGCAGGGCTTTCCACAGCCTCCACCCTGCAAGACAAGATCCTGCAGGGCTGCTGGATCCCACTGGGAAAAAGAGTGACACCAGCCACCGGTGGGGAAGGGCTGGGAAGGGAAAGAACTTGGCTGGGCACAAATGCCACGGCCACAGGGGTGGCAGAGGGAAGGAGCCATTCTGGGGAAGAGCTGGGAGGTGTTTGTTGGGCTCCTGGCACCTCAGACTCCTCTTGGCTTCAGGGCAAAAGCCTCTCAGTCCCTCTATTCCTGGAGTTCTCATGGGGCCCTGAGCCCCTTGGGGTTGAGCACACATGGAGAAAGTGCCAGGCTGAATGTCCCTGGGTGCTGAAAACCAGGCATGGGAGAGGGATGGAGGTGCCACTTGTGGGACAATATCCCACTGGGGAGGTTCTGAGCAGAAATGCTGCTGCTTTCTGAGCAGGGCAGAGTACTGGGCTCCTGGCCCCAGGGTCAGGCCAAGGAGGCTCCATCACTGGGATGAGCTGGTGAGAGCTGCAGAGGGCAGCCCAAGACGGGTTAACTCGGGCTGCTGTCCTCAGCATGTCCCCAGTGGGGAGGGGACAGCCCCCAGGCTCACAGCTTTGGGGACAGCCTGAAGCCCAGGGGCTTTTCCCAGCCACCTTGGCTCACTGCCCTCCTCTGTCACACCAGGAGACCTATGGCACGTGAGGTTTTCTGGGATATGGCAGGGCTGGAGATCCCTGGGGGACTCATCCCTCCACTGGGTTACTCCCATCCCAAATCTGCAGTGTGTCACTAATCCTGATGGCAGTGCCCTTCCAAGCAGAGCTGGAGAACCCCACTGCAAAGCCCAGGATTGCCCACCTTCTCTCCAGGCAGGTGGTCTCCAGCAGCCCTTGAAGCCCATCATGGGGAAGGGAACCTTTCCTGGTCCCCCTCCAGGGCCATCTTGGTCCCCCTCTTACACTCAGGGGACCTGTGAAAGTGATTTGGAAGCAGGAGCTGGGTGCCAGCGAGTTGACTTTCTCCTGCACTCTTCATGGCTGGGCATTCACAACGTTTTTAATTAAATGTGTTCATTAAAAAAAGAAAGAAGGTTTTCAATCCCTCTCTGCAGAGATGCAGGGGGTACCCTGGACCGTTGCAGGCAGGAATGATAAATATGTTGACTGGCTGAGTAATAATTCAGCCTGGGCTGAGCGAAGTTTGGGATGGGGAGGAGAGATGGGCAGCAGAGAATTCAGCTTTCAAGTCTCTGATCCTTGTAAAATTTCATTACACAGTAAAATTGGAGCTACCACAGCCTGGATTGTGTGGGGGAATATCTGTGTTCCTGCTTCTTCTTTCTTCTCTTTTTTTTTTCTTCCCTTTTTTTTTTTTAAACCTTTTGTTTCTTTACACTTTTTTTCCCCCTTCCTTCCTTTTTTTTTTTCCCTTTTCTTTCTTGTCAAGGCTGTGTTCTCATCCCCTATCCCGATTCCCGTACGTGAAGACAGCCTGGAAAGGTCATGCCACCCATAGTCTGGGGGGAGATGGATATATTCCTGTGGGAGCTGAGTGCTTTGGAGAGGAGCCAACAAACCCAAGGAGCTTCAGCCCAGAGGAGGGTTTTGTTGTGTGTGTGTGTGTCTGTGTGTGTGTGTGCATGTTTTTCAACAGCTCTAAGCAATTGAGCCTTGTTTTTCCTATTCGGCACTACGGATTATGGATGAATAAGCATAAAGATATCCAGGCAACATTAAAAAAGAAAAAAAAAAACACCTCTACCATATCCAATCTCTTAGTACAGTCCTGGCTTTGTGGAGTCCAATGCTGGGTTATTTGCCCAATAACTGAGTTTCCTTTCTGATTATTCACATCACTCCAGGCACATTCAGGGT